CGGGTTTAGGGTAAGTTTCGTGGATCTTATACGCCATTTGGGCTAACTGCTCCAAGCTGTGGTCATCAACGAAAGCACTGATGATGTGAGACATGGAGGGTGGAGGTTGGTCGAGCTATAATTGGGCCATGATTTCCACCGCTGGCTTACGGCCGCAGAGGAGACTGCGCATGTGGTGAAGCAGTTGTGATGGCGATCTGTCACCAAGTTCGACAGTGGTGAATAAATCCCGCTGCATTTCGTTTTCTGACTTCCCTGTCCTACTTATGACGGCCGCTCGAAGGGCGACATACGGATTTGCCTTGGGAATATCTTCTAATAGGTCTTCGAATTCTGTTGCTTTATCACAAGAAAGATACTGGACAACATAAAAAAAATCGCGTGGCTTGGGAAGTGATGCGTCGGGTAGTAAAAACTGCTTCCAGCTGGTGAAACCATACCCTGGGGTTGCGTGGATTGTGGTCTGGTAAACGTATGCTAATCGCATTCTCGACTAAATCCGCTGAGTCGAAGTGTGTCTCCATAAGTACCGGGCAAAAGAAACAAAATTACGACGACTTGAAAGGAAAATCTTTCAAAAAAATATCTAGAAATACTCGTGCTTACCAAATTTGTAGTATTCTAGATACCCAGTAAGTCAGTTTACCAGGAGTGTGTGGCAAAGAAATAAAAATAATAACGCTAGGTTCCGAAAATGGTCTGAAATATTTTGGTATCAGAGTTAGTACATGAAACTCGCGAATGGCCGCTGCGAGCGCGAAAAAAATCAGAATAGAGAGTCGAAGCACGTGACCACGCTTGTATTATGTGAAATTGTACAAGTGCGCGTTTTCGTAGTTCTTCCTATTCAAACAAAAAAACGATTACGTAATTTACGAAATACGTAATGTTGTAATGGAAGCAAAATAAAGGTACAAAACACCACAGTACTTGAAAGTACATGTTACGGAATGAGATATGTTCTGCATGTGTGACATCAAACAGCCGAATACACAACAACTTTGACTGAACTAGCTACGTCGTCCAGCCTAAATGACGACGAGACCGTGGCTTTGCAGCCGATTATGAACTAGTCCAATATCTTCAGGACAGCAACAAAGGCGTTCAGGTTTCCCGGCAGACATCGAGCCATTGCAAACTTCATGCCACCAGTTAGTGAAGATACTGCTTTTAATTACTCTTATGGCACAGATTTTCACTACTCATTTCCAGCTACACTGGAGCTCTGTCTGAGGTGGAAATACTGAAGTAATTAGAAAGCGAAGCCCCCATGTCGCTTTCTAAAGTCTAATACCAATTTCATTTCCTGGTTTTGAAGGGCTCGAACACTGTTATTCTCTTTATTAAGCAGAAATATGGTCGGTTGCCGTAAGATCTCTTTGAATTGGTTCACGTAAGTGAGGTCGGCGTCGCCTCCTTTTATTTGATAACTAATGGATGACTTCGAGATACTTCCCCGCCACGAGTTCTCACGACGGGTATCCATTGATGTAGTATACATCAGCCATTTTGGTGTTGAACACAGGACCTAGCAGTACCGATGGGTAACTATCGCCATTGGAAAATGCATAGCTCCTTCTGATTATCTGCAAGCCTTCAGACCATTCGTTAAAAACGGATGAGGAGGAGCAAGATAATTTAAGGAGCTGTTAAAAGACAGATTGAACGATTCGGGTTCAAGTAAGTTGTACGCTACTGGTAGGCTATAATACCTCCCGACATCTACTGTTGACTAGTACCAGCGAAGAATTTTGAAACCCATTTACTTTTTTTCTAAAGCCATGAGGATAGATTTTCAAAATTTCGTTTGCGGTATTCGTCAAAGACTTTGTTTATATGTCCAAATATCTTATCAACTCGACTGCTTGCCTCGACATTTTCTGATGGCTTTTTTCAACCAAAAAAAATCGATACCCAGAATCTTCGTACTTGGAGTTCCTGATGGCTTTTTCAACCAAAAAAAATCGAAAACCCAGAATCTTCGTACTTGGAGTTCACTCTGTGACAGCGTGTGAGAGCTGCTCCGGCGAAGATGTGCCTTGTTGTTTTCGTCTATCCACTCTCTTGACTTTACGAATGACCAATTCGGGGTACGTTTGTCCCCAGTTGACTGAGTTATGACAGCAAACTTTCTAATATTGTTCTTACCACGGTTTCACACAATTGAAAAACGCTTTAAGCCAAGACGTCACCAGAAATGCCTACCTAGCTGGGGGACAATAAAATCCGTTAGGTTTCACATAGTTCGTGTCAAACTTCCGTATTACTTGAGGTGAGTCGAAAGATCCATGGACTTTTACAAGGGCTATTTTAAGGCCTCTCACAGAACTTGTGCCGAGTGCCTAGTTCGAGAAACTATTGTGATTTCGTCCATAACATACACATACACATTAATCCTGGTGAGACAATGACGGCTGTTTTCCTCAGCAGTTTATTTTGTCGGCTGACACAATATTTGATTCACCGCATACCAGCTGACCGCAGATTTCGCAATGGAATTTGTAACTTATGAACCGGTTATTGATTTATATGAAGACCATGTATTATATTTGGTCTCTACTCTGCTTCCTTCTCTTACTGAAGTGTGTCAGAGGGTATCGGGATGGAGGAACAAGTTCTAGGTAATTTTAGTTCAATACTGAAAATCACCTGCTGCAGCGATCACTGTATCCTGCATGGTCCAGCTTTTTATTCCTATTAGGATATATTATCGACCTAAGGTTTGCTGATCCGATACCGTATCGAATAAAAGTTTGTTTAAATCCAAGACGTTTGGCATCCAAGGAGAGGATGAGTTTGTTGTAGAGCATCATTCCTTGCAGTCTTCGTTGGTCTTCCGTCTTACAGTATAAGACAAGCGTCACATTTTCCAAAGTATCGAAGACAAGACCTTGTGCGGTTTGTGCGATCAGATATGTTAACGCACACATGCAAACAGAAGTGAAGCATTTTGGTCTGGATCTTGGTCCATAATGTAACGATACACTAGAGTTCGGATGAAGCAAATTAGATCGGATTGAAACGTGAGTGGTGTGTACCCAGTGATCCGCATTCACAACCTATTGCAGCGGCGCACTGTCGACCAGACATCATTAACTCACAAATTTGCAAGTCTGTCAGGTAAGATACAAGGCCAGTTATCGACGTAATACACTTCAAATAGGGTCAGTTATTCTTCCAGCACGGAATCCACTTTATGTCGTCATGTGTTGGCTGGTTTCTCAAGTAAGAACCATCCATATAGAAGGTTCAATTATCGGGTGAATTATTCTTTCCTCCAAGCTGCTTTTGGTTTGTAGGTTCAGGGAGGAGATTCGTGAATTTCTCAACAGTGAACACGCTGACAATCAACACGTGACCACGTGATGTGGATTCAGTGATCGAACGTTAAGTGGCACTATATCCTGACTAAATGTGAGCTGCACTGGTGAAAAGCCGCTTGTGGGCAAACGGTCAGGTGTTGAAACTACTAGCCGCGCAGTCTCGGTTGAGAACTCCCTTGAATTTTGTGACGTACACTCTGCTGATGATTCCCAAAAAGATTCTAAACAGCCGTGCGACTTTTCTTGGCTTGTCAGCATGGACAAGCTTCACTTACAGGAAGCAACGTCCATCAGAAATCTCCAAATGTCCTCACGCCTCCAACGATTGAGAAAGTGTCTCCTGTTGGTGGTCACCGTATTGCGAGCGCTTTTCTGATTACATCCGTCGACGGATTTTCAGCAACCTTATGAGTAGTACACTACAAAAGTCTAACACTTGGTTGCCGTGCACCACCACATACCCGCTATTATGAAGAGTTGCACCGGGATCGTTAGATAAAGAGTGTGGTCCATTCAGGAAATTATTTCATTCGTAAAAAACTGGTTACAATTGAAGATTTCCAAACTAAACTTTAGCAGATCACTCTGAGTGTGTTTTCACTCGTGGACGAGGAGCACACGGAGTGTAGAGGAGACTCCGAGATTTTGTATAGCAGAGGGCAATAGTTCACCATCAAAGTTTATTACAGTCACTATTCCAGCTGACTTTATTCAGAGAATTTCTTCACGTTTAGTTTGCCAACACGCCTTCATATTCATGGGTTGCATCATCGCCAGCTGCTTGCTTTCGATTTACCATTAGATTTACGTGTTACATCCCGGTTTAATTAGTGGCATATCTCAATGTATACATAGCGTGCGGTCAGATACATACGTCAGAAGGGACCTTTTGTTGCAAGCATGTACGACTCATACAGTACTGCTACTATTTTCTTCCAGCCATTCAGTTCCAACCTGAAAAACATATTCCAACTGCCAAATGGATGTATCGGGAAGCGGATTCCACAACTTTGAACGTGAACATGTAACTAGAAAAACCTACCCTCAGAACAAAGTGTAGCATAAGAATTATTGTTCTAGGTCGTTATTCTGAGTACAACTCCCCTGCTCCAGAAAAACATACTTACCTTTCCAAAATCTATAGCAAAATCGGATGTCGCTTATACCTGGCCAGTCCCCTCAGACGCCAGTAGGTGTATAAAGTGACGGCTAACTTGGTAAACAGTTTTCCGAGTTTATTTCAGTCCATTTTCATCAAGTTTAGCCTGCAAATCAGACAACAAAAGGCACATTTAGTATTTCTTGAAGATAATCAAACATTGCACAGCGGTGTCGCACCAAAATTACTTTTTCGAAGCAGTTTAAGCGTTCGTTCAAAGATTGAGTAAAACTGCCAACATTTTTGCCTGTCATCAGAGATAGGTACTAAACAACGTCAGATGCCTATTGGACGACCGTGTACCACAGCTGTCTGGTTGCAATCACATGATCCCCAGCCACGCTTTACAGCAGTTATCAAACTGGCACTCAGTCCACGAACTAAGGATGGGCCAATTGGATTCAAATGATTGGCACAATGAGCAATGTTCGCCATACGAAGCATCATTGATCGGTGACCTAGACCAAAGAGAGTATATTTTTTGTCCCATTTGCGCGCGCGACAAAAAATACTCTGGTATGTCCACTGCGTCTCAAGACAGTACCACCGTGGAAAGCATGTTCCTCAACAACTCAGAGGATATTGCTGCATGGCTTTCGTTTGAAAATTCGTCGGATACAGATCGTCCACTTGGTATGGTTGATGGTGTGTTCGAGACATCTACTCCGAAGAATTCCCGCTTGGAAATAATTTCCGAACTGATTCACTTGCTGGAGAAGCTGGACCTGGCGGGGCACACAAATGCAGCATCACCCGAATCGTATGAGTCGTCGAACTTGGACTCCTGCTACTACTCACATGAACTGGAACCAAACACACAATTTAGTTCGAAACACAGTACATCGGCATATCAAGATTTACGAGGCGAGCGTTATGGTGGCTACGATAACAGAAATACTTTCAGAACAGGACGTATCTGGCATGGCCGTCCTCAGCCTGGTTACGACCGTCCACGATTGTGTCAGATACCCTACAAAACCGAGCTTTGTCGACGCTACTTGGCCAGTGCTGGCAGAGAGTGCGCATACGGAAGCCGATGCCGCTTCGCACATGGACTCGGGGAACTGCGTCTCTTTCCTTATCACCCAAGACACAAGACAGAACTATGCCGTGGGTTTCATGAAGGTGGACGCTGTATATATGGCAAACGTTGCATATTCATTCACAACGAAAGCAAAGAGAAGCTGGCGGCGATTCGGTCACTCAATCGACTATTGCAAACGTACGCACACACCCACCCGTACCGTTACGATGTTCATTTCACAGAGCTGTTAGAATTCGGGCTCATGCTATCAAAAACTTCTGCAGAAGACTCGCCTTCAGGCTCCACCACGGAGCTCCCATCAGGTGAGTCACAGCGGGCAGAAGACGTTCTCTCTTCACCTATTATGCACTTACTCAAGCTATCCTTACTTGATTGATCCAGTTTTTAGGAAGATAGCAACTTTTCTTTCTTCAAACTGTTCTCTTGTATTTTGCCAGTAGCCTTTTTGATAACCATAAAATTTAACTGAGGTGCACAATTATGTTAACCTGCAGAATTTTGTGGTGTTAGTGCAACACACATTTATGCTTGCCAGTTTATATCTCAACTCCTATATGATCACTTTCACTGTCATATAATAAGATGAATCATTTTATTGATTAAACGCTACTTCTACTACATAAACACCACTTTGGTAATGGAGTAGAAATTAAGGAAGGTTTTTCGTCTCAGTATCCTCCGACAGCTTAACCCTTCTTTAGTGGCCTCTTGGGGATCTGACCAAAAGGGATCGCTTCAGAGAAGTGAATTTTGTAGGGAACGTCGAAACCCAGTTATTCTCCGCCTTTTTAAATACAAAGCTTCACCTAACCGGCTCTAATAGGCTCCTTATCCTTCCTTCCGAAAACGCAAAATCACTTCACATTTGTTCCTTGAGGTTTGGCTTTCAATTGGAGGCTTTAAGAACAACTTATTTCTTAACAAGAATCATGTGAAATACCCCAGTGGTAGGAGTGTTCTTCAAAAAAGATCGGTCTCAAGTAAACTGACACTAGGGTTAAAAACAAAATTGTTTTCCTCTAACTGGTTACGGGTCACATTTGATGCTCGTCATATACATGGTGCACAACTGCGTGTAGTAGTTGTGGAGACCACCTGTTGTTGGTCTCAAGTTCTTCTCTGGTAAACCTCTTTGCGCGATCTTTAGACAGGCAAAAATTGACCACATTTCTTTGCTGTTGGAGATGCATCTAAAAAGATTGATTGGAAGTGTGCCTTTCATAAGTTCCACCAATCATATGAAAAGGTGCACTTTTCTACTGATATTTTCTCCAAGGGGCACTTTAAGGGACCAGCAAAAAGATCTTATTCGCCGGTCTCTCTTTTGAGAAGAGACTTAATGTTGGAGTGCACTTTGACAGACCACAACTTGTAAGTAGCGACTACCCTTGGGGGTGTATTGCACCTAGAAAAAGTAAAAGAGCCCTTGGACTTCACGTCCGAAACTGTATGGCTTCATTATGGCCCATAAGATACACGTCCCATTCTCCGAAATACAGCTTGTGTAAAACCGCGTAAAGATATATTGAAGCTCAAAGGTTTCCTAACCTCTGTTCAGTCATTTTCCTGCTGCCTCAGGTAAATTTAGTTCTGTGAGATACAAACACATCTAGCCGGTTTGTTTATGGTCTCGTCAAAACCAAACTTAACGGTTCAGCTGAGACACCATTCTGGTGCCTGGCTGCCATGCCACTTGAAAGAAACACGAAGTCTGAGTTACTGCTAGAATGTCCAAGCCCAGACAGGAGCCCTCGGGAATCAGGGGTTGGGGCCAAGCCATGGACCTCTTGGCTAGTAAACCCGCAACTGAACCACTGAGCTCACGGACCAGTCAGACCTGAGTACAGTACTGATCCTTTTCATCACTGACAGCAGCAGCAGTATCGGTGGCAAACACCGTTGGTCAGATGCCACAGAGCATGGTAGTAAAAACTGAGAAACAAGATACTTCGGAAAAGGGATGGCAGAACTAATTCTAACGAATAGACTATTCGTGACCTACTCACCTTTCCATATTAGTGTGTCACTGCCGAATTTTGAAGTGCATACTTTCGTGTGTATTCGGACAGTTGGTAGGGCGACCAGTCTGTCTACTGGAACAAGTTGGGCTGTTTCTTGTGAGTGTTCTTTGTTTTGTTGGGGACTAGTGTATACTTTTCTTGAAGGTAGAAATCTAGAGCACCGACCTACATGGTTTTTCACAGGAGTGGGTTGGCCCCTATTGGAAGGTTTCCTTGCAATGCATGCCAAAGTATTTGGTTACTTCTAACTCCAACTCTGGTGCGCATTAAGTAACTTGCAAGCATTATTTCCCAACCGAAGCGTATGATAATAAACCTGGACGCTTGGTCCTTAAATGTGTATATGCGCAAACCTACAGCATCACAAGAAGACAAGCGATAAATGTTTTACGTCAACCATGGTACTAGACTACAGAGATGGTCAAGCAAACTTAGAGCCGGTCGGACCTCCAGGTAAATCATGTCGCCATTGAACTCTCGTTGTATTCGAACAAAAAGCTTGCGAGTTCTTGATCTGTCTGTTTGTTGTGGCTATCTTTCAGCTTTCCTCTCTTAAGTTAGTACCACCAGACTACGTTCCCATGTTCACCTACGCGCAAATGGGAGGCAAGATGATAGGGTGATGAAATGCTATGTATAGTTGATGAGACTACATTTTTCGACTAAGGTACAAGCGGTTTCTTAGCTCTGCTCTATTGCATGTTACCAACGTTACCAACGTCCGGAATATTGACCGCCTGAGAACGTCAACATCCCCGAAGAAAAGGAATGAAGAAATTGTTATCCTCGGAGGAAGAGCAAACATCTCACGACTGAACCGAGTGAGATTCCACCACAGATCAGTTGACTTGTAAAATAGCACTCAGTCCGTGGAGTACTCTTTGAACCATGCTAACGCTAAACTTGTGATGCTCTCAGCAGGTGAGTCTATTGATCAAATCTCAAAGATTCAGGTAACTAACAGCTATGTAAAGTTGGGATAGTTTGATACTCATGTCGTTCCCAGAGGCCACCGCTTGGGTCCAAGACTTCATTACAGGTAAAAGTTTCGTTAGCAACGACCTCTCGAACTGAGCGCCGTACTGCTCACCTTGTAGAAGCTGATTTTGTGACAGTAAAGCCAATAGCTGGTCGACAGGCAGAAAGTAGTGATATTGAGTCTCATGTGTGGTTCGTCTGTAGCAACTCTTAAAAAACCACCACTGGTGGTCCACTCAGAGCGGGCAACTGTGCCGTATCCAGTGGTTCAGTATCCCAGTTAATGTTAGCCAACTTGAAAATATCCAGCTAAGTTCAAGGCAAACAGGTTTCAACGACAGGCTTCCAGTGGAACCCTAGATGATGTTACAAGTATTCTGCGCTACAGTGACGGACTACGCTCAGATACTGAGTTTCATTGACATAAAACGGGTATAAAACAGGTAGCTGGTGAATTTTGTGCACTAAATCCCAAATTAGATAGGTCGATTTGAATAGATTCGGAAGCATTTGTAAACTCTATATACAGTTTGTGCGAAACGCAAAACCCTCGTACTGAAATCTGTGAATTTCGGCAACTGAAATATCAGCTCAACGCTGCTTCGGTGGATGACTTAACCTTTGCTGACGACTGGATCACGATTTCACATCAATTTGGTTTCGACAGCAGACTTAAGCGAGTCCAGCCTTATCTCTCGTTTATGGTGTTCTGCGTCAACTGAATTGCCTACACCAGGCCATCGCATGTGTCAGTCGGTATGATATTGGATATATCACAATACATTGTATAGACGGGATACTATACACATAAGTTTGCTGAAATCTCTCCAACAGCCTACGACTATTGTCACGAACATCATAAACGACATTCACTTGGATTCAATCGGGTTTCCCGTCGAAAGCAAATCGGTTTGTAAATGAGTGTAGTTCTCGAATTACCTTCAATCAGGACATAAGTTGGGCGGAATCTGGGGGCCTGTACCTAGTTAATAAGTCACAAGAAGGACTGCCGAATAGTTTCCAGCTACGTTAGGATAAATATGTTCCATCAAGATTCCATTGGTTTTTTTCTTTTTTAATAACCCGTTCACACCCTGTTACTTTTTTCCCATTTTTAGTTAATAAACCATTGTTATTTTTGAATATCGTACTTCATAACTCTTCTGGGAATACGGAATATATGGCATTTACACCTTCTGTGGCAGTATGGGATTTTGAAACTTTATCCGATTTTTCGTCATGAGATTGAGGTCGGTCTGTTCGATAATGTCCGGGAGAGCCGAACAGCTGTTTCATTCTTATGGAAAAATATCAGCGATGCGCAACTTAAAAAACCAGTGGAAGATTCGAATCCTTGTAGTTGAAAACCAAACTGTTCGGTCACGAACGATTTTCGCCGGTCAGAGAGAATGCTATCTAAAGAATACAGTAGTAGGTACAATAACTACGGGAAATCAGTCCTTATGCCATTGTGTTACGTTTGATTGACGTAACCTGGAATTTGTCTGACAGGCCAGCGATTGTGGATTTAGTGTCACTCACCGCTAATGCACGTGTTTCACATCACGTGGTCATCTGTTGGCTAGCCCCCACGAGCGATGACTTGTCTAGTGGTGAGGCGGGTTGGTTTAGGAACGTTTCTCACCCGAAGAGGACGGTAAATTTAGAGATTATAATCATCCGTTGAGAGAGCTCAACAATATGTACAAGAAACCCCAAGTCTTTGGGGAATAGTCCTCTGGAGCTTTCCCTCCACACATCGAAATTTCCCATTTCATTCTCTGGAAAGTTCGAGCTGCTATAATTGCTTGGGTTGAGTCATGCACATTGATCTCTATGTTTTCGAGGATGCCGTACTAGTCCTGAAGAACTTGTAAAAGGGTCCAGATTTACAAATGCATCAGGATTCATTATTCGAAGAACGCATTATTGGGTTAGTTTGGTACAGTAGAATAAATATGATGCGGCCAAAATACCGAAAATATGCAGTATTCTGTCAAATAATGTTCTAGAACTTCCACTATACAGGCCCTGGATTCTCTATGGTGTGAGTGAAAGGAAACGATTGGACCAGAGGGATGGCCAGGCATCCGAAAAAAGTGAACAATGGTCATTCCGATATACTTCAACTTCGAGGACATGCTTTTGTGGGATGCCAAAGTGTTTCTCTGACGGAGTGTTCTCTACAGATATGTGAGCGTGTGATTCACTTATTCTCACTCAAGTATGAGAGTCGTTGCAAACTAATAAGCATGTTAATTTAACCTAGTCATTGAGTCTTCTCCGTATGCCAGTCAACCGATTTTCTGGAAGGGCTGTTTTTGCACAACCACGAGAAGGGTAGAATTGAGTCGGGGGAGGTCATACAGTGTAT